AAAAAAAAAAAAAAAAAAAAGACCCTGAGCTGCACGCAAACGCTGCCAGGAGTCCCTCTGGGTCGTCTCACCTCCTAACCTGGAGATCCCCCATGACCTCAGGCTCTGTAGCTGACCACAGGAAGTCAGTCACATTTATGAAGAGCTCACTATGCATAGGCATGTTGCCGGGCACTTACACCACGCTATCTTTTTTTTGATATCTCTAATAACCCCACAAGTGAGGTCTGTTTACCCTTTAGATCAGGGGTCCTCAAACTTTTTAAACAGGGGACCAGTTCACTGTCCCTCAGACCGTTGGAGGGCCAGACTGCGGGCCCCGGGACAAGTTGGCTGCTAAGCAGGACAGGCGGTGGCGGCAAAAACACCTGGCGGGCCTGATAAATGTCCTAAGTGGGCTGCATGTGGCCTGTGGGCTGGAATTTGAGGACGCCTGCTTTAGATGAATGAGAAAAATAAGACTCAGACAGGTTAAGGAACTTTCCAAGCGTTTCTTGGCCAGTAAGTGGTGTAGGTGGGATCATAGCAGCACCAAGCAGGCTGTCTCCAAAGTCAGGAAGAACAGAGGGACTCACTGGGCCAGACATTGACAACAGACAGGAGGGAGAAGCATCAGAGATGATTTTGCAAATATAACCGAAATATCAAGTGGCCATGGTTGTTCCTTCTTGACTGCTTCCCTGCTCTCCAACTCAGAGAAGCTCTGATCCAAATAATAGGATTAACAGTGTTTTACTTATTTATGTTAGAGACAGAGTCTCATTTTGTCACCCTCGGTAGAGTGCTGTGGTGTCATAGCTTATAGCAACCTCCAGATCTTGGGCTTAGCTCTTGCCTCAGCCTCCCGAGTAGCTGGGACTACAGGCTCCCGCCACAACGCCTGGCTATTTTTTGTTGTTGTTGCAGTTTGACTGGGGGCCGGGTTCGAACCCACCACCATAGGTATATGGGGCCGGTGCCCTACCCACTGAGCCACAGGCGCCACCCTAAATATTTAATTTTTTTAAATGTTCTTTCTCTCTTATCTGAAAGAAATCCCTTTACCTGAACTGTAAAAGAAGATAGCTACAGATGGAAAAATAACAACAATAAAAAAACCAAACCTACAATCAAGGAAATCATGGGTGGGGGGCATTATCCATTTCATCAAACAGTAGGTATTGCATGTTGCAAAGCTGAGTGAGAAAGTAAGAGAATATGCAAGATTCACCTCAGTCATTAACTTAATCTGTGAGTGCTCTCAAGTACCATGTTTCCCTGAAAATAAGACACTGTCTTATATTTATTTTTTCTCAAGAAGACACACTAGGTCTTATTTTCAGGGATGTCTTCCTCTCTGCGCCAAAATGCATGCTGTAGATATGCAAATAGCCATGCCCATCACTAGGTCTTATTATCGGGGTAGGGCTTATATTTAACAAATGCATAGAAATCCTGCTAGGGCTTATTTTTTGGGTAGGTCTTATTTTTGGGGAAACACAGTAGCTCCTAGGTATTTTTCAGGGCCTCTATGATGTCATTATAGTCTAGTTAAGAAAAGTAATCTACAAATAGAGTAATGGAATTCTTTAAATTCTGCTCCATTGCTAATTAACCTAAGGCATCTTTAGCATTTTTACCAGCGGGAGGGTCTCACATTGTCAGTGAGGACTGTCCACAACCAACAGGCTTTAAGCAACAGTTTACTGAGTTCTATACAACACAGCTGCAGTGCAGACACAGAGATGCCATGTAATAATTTCTGAATCCATTGATACTGAAAAGGTTTTCATAACAAATAAGAAGAATTAAGTCATCAGTAATGTTACTAAAAGTAACATTTCACAAATTTATGAGCCTACTACAGTGTTTTACTTGCACAATTGCTACCTTTCCAGTATCTTGGTAGTAATGGGGACCAGGTAGTAGGACTGTGGA